GCTGATGGGATTATAACCTCCAATTATCTTTCCGGTTCGAAGTTTCATGATCATCAGAGAGGGTCCGTGATGGCATTTCGTCGTTGGAAATAACCCTGCATATGATTTATTATAGTACTTATAGTTTTGATAATGGAATTCCGAATTATCGTTCATGCGAAATATGGGAGTAAATTTATACGGCATATTAGATTCTGTGTACCGAGAATTCACGGGATCTTTACCCTTGATCCATGTCGCGATCAACTCAAAGAAGTCGCTTTCGATCATTTTTGTGATAGGTTTGGATGGAATTTCATAATTAACATAATTTACTTCCTTGTTCATCACCATCATTGGTTCATCATCTTTTCTACCAATTGCAAAAATATCCCATTTTTCAATTAAATAATATCCCTCCTTCAATATAATTGGTTGCTCGTAAAATTTGTTCTTGACATCACAGTGGATACTTCCTGACGAGTAATAGTGAAAAACAAAATCTTCCCCGAATTTTAATAGGTTTCCGCTGGGACGCACATTCTCTAGACAGATTGCGTGTTCGAAATCACGAACCCTGCTTAATCGATGATTTGTTCCATACTTATCATCACAAGAAAAAAGAAAACTTTCTGATGTAGGAATATATACTTTCTTTTCTATATCTTGCTTCCAATTGATAGGATTGTATGCACCAATGATTTTTTCAGACCCTTTAAATTTCATGATCATTATGGAAGGTCCGTGATGACATTTGACCGTTGGTAAGATTCTTTTTGAAGATTTGTTGTAATATTTATGATTATCTTGAAAGAAGGTTGTTTGATCATTCATGCGAAACACGTGCCTAAATAGGAATGGAGTGTCTGAAACGGTGTATGGATCTTCATTGGAATCCTTTCTGTCGATCCATGTCGCAATTAATCCGGCGAGTCTACTACTAACGATCTTTGGTTCAACGGGTGAATTAATACGACGTGGAATTTGACATTGGGGTCTTGACATTGGGAATATTTGATCATATTTGAGAATCAAATTCTTATAGTCCTTATACTGTATGTTGTTGTATCGAATCAACGGTAACCCATTCTCTATAGTACTTCTCAATGCACCGATCAGAGACATATCGTATGTATTATCGGTTGAAGTAACGAAACCGGGGGTGTTCGCGATGCCCCACTCAATCAATTTATTCAAAATTTTGATTTCTGGAAAGTAAATCACGTCCAGCCTTAATAAACACAACAATAATTCTTCATCAATCGATGAAAATGCTGGGGAATCGAATAAAATCGACGGCTTCTCTACGAAGATTTCTTGACAATATGAATAGAGATCTTGAAGGAGCGGAATTCGATAAGAGGTTTTTAATATGGAAACAATATCTTCATCACGCCATTCCTTATTCTTATCCTTCTTTTGATCCAATTTGGATCTTAAAATGTCGAAAAATCCATGAAGAAGTAGGATGTCAGATACCAACATCAATTCCATCAAAAGATCCGTATCCGGATTGTACAAAACGATTGTTCCGCTACAGATACCGCTATGAATTTCAAATCATGGTAATCATAATTAATGCATGCATGTTTTTTTTTAATTCCCTCGCGAATGAAACCTTACTTTAAGATTATCTTAAAGGCATCAGATGAAACGTCCAATCGAAGCCTATACTTATCATCAACCTTTGTAGCCCATTTTTCTGATAAAGCGACCTTGAAATATTCGCATCTT